CATGGTAATTACATTGCTCTAACATAAAAATTAATATGTAATGTCATATTCTAATATTTTATTTGTAATGTTACTATAATTACTATGTAATAACATCTTATAACATTGTTATTGCACTGTTATAACAATATAATTACTATGTAATGACATCGTTATAACATTGTAATTACGTTGTTGTAAAATCACAATTAGTTATAACATCAAATAAAATTGCTATGACATCATTAATATACCATGTTTTATGCTAATGTGTAATATGTAATGATTGCCATTATATTATAATTACTATGTAATAACATCTTATAACATTGTAACTGCACTGTTCTAATATTGTAATTAATATGTCATAATATTATTACTATATAATATCATTTTAATTACACTGTTACAACATTGTAATTACATTGTTAGAACACTGTAACTACATGCATTTAAATTATAGGTACTTTGTAATAACATTGTAATTACATTGCTATAACATTATAATTAACATGTAATGTCAGTCTATGCAATGTGTTACTATAATTCCTATGTAATAACATCTTATAACATTTAATTGCACTGTTATAACAATATAATTACTATGTAATAACATTGTTTTAACATTGTAATTACAGAGTTGTAAAATTACAATTATTGTTTTAACATTGTAATTGCATTGTTATAACACTAATTAATATGTCATGTTATATGCAAATGTGTAATATGTAATGATTGCCATTATATAATAATTACTATGTAATAACATCTTATAACATTGTAACTGCACCATTCTAATATTGAAATTAATATGTCATAATATTATTAATATATAATAGCATTTTAAATACACTGTATCAACATTGTAATTACATTGTTAGAACACTGTGATTACATGCATTTATATTATATGTACTTTGTAATAACATTGTAATTACGCTGTGGTAAAATTACAATTACTGTTATAGCATTGTAATAACATTATTATAACATTGTTGTTACATTGTTATTGCATAGTAATTATAACCCAATGATGTAGTTGTTACATTGTAATTACATTGTTACAACATAATTATAATGTAACCGTAGTAGTTATAATGTTATAAAATGTAGTTACAATGTCGGTACATTGTAGTTACTATGTAATAACATTGTAACTACATTGCTATAACATAGCATATAATTAATGTCATGTTATATGCTAATGTGTAATATGTAATGATTGCCATTATATTATAATTACTATGTAATAACATCTTATAACATTGTAACTGTACTGTTATAACATTGTAATTAATGTCATCATAATAATAATATGTAATAACATTGTAATTACATTGTTAGAACACTGTAATTAAATGCATGTAAATTATATGTACTTTGTAATAGCATTGTAATTACATTGCTATAACATTATAATTAATATATAATGTTATATGCTAGTATTTAACATGTAATGTGTTACTACAATTACTATGTAATAACATCTTATAACATTGTAACTGCACTGTTATACCATTGTAACTAATATATAATGGTATATTCTAATATGTAATGTTATAATTACTAATAACAGCTTATAACATTGTTATTGCACTGTTATAACATCGTAATTACGCTGTTTTAAAATTACAATTACTGTTATAACATTGTTATTACATTGTCATTGCATAGTAATTATAACCTAATGATGTAGTAATTACATTGTACATTGTAATTACATTGTTACAACATAATTCTAATGTAACAACATAGTAGTTACAATGTTAAAAATGTAAGTATAAAGTCAGTACATTGTAGTTACTATGTAACAACATTGTATTTACATTGCTATAACATAGCATATAATTAATGTCATGTTATATGCTAATGTGTAATATGTAATGATTGCCATTATATTATAATTACTATGTAATAACATCTTATAACATTGTAACTGTACTGTTATAACATTGTAATTAATGTCATAATAATAATAATATGTAATAACATTGTAATTACACTGTTATAACACTGTAATTACATTATATGTACTTTGTAATACCATTGTTATTGCATTGTTATAACATAGTAATTAAGCTGCTAAATTTAAAACTATCATGTTATTGATAAAACATAAAATTAAGCTATATAAATATGCCATATAAAGTAGCATTCAGAAAAAAAACAAAACACCAGTGAAGAAACTCGACACTACCTACTGCCAGCTAGTTTTTCAGAAGTTTCATTGCAGAGCAACACAAACAGCACACAGAAGTTTAAATGTACAACTACACACAAGGCATATGGCGTGGGTCACGCCGATAACTGGATGCAGAAATATAATCCAGCCTTAAGAGAGTAAATGACCTCACCGGTTTCTGTGGTCCAGATGAAGCGCCCGTGTCCAGCGTGTGCCAGATCACTCAGAGCCCGTGCAGTTTCGGCCTGCGACTCAGTGTGCTTCACTTCGGTGAACAGGCACACATGGAGGTTCAGGTTTGATGTGCTGCAGCGCTCAGACACATAAGAAGTGACTGAATCCTGAGAATGAGAGCATGAAAGACAATGAATGCTGGTCTAATGTTAGATTGGACTGCTAAACGTAATAAAATGAAAATGTAAATACAGTGCAGAGATACATCAAACTCTGCACTGCTTATATATGAACAGCAGAGGGCAGCAAAGGTTGACTTGGCCATTTTGCTGAGGTTTCAACATGCTTACAGGCAATATAATAGAGGATTATTTATGAGTGATCAGAATAAACTGAAGGATTAACAATTAAAAGCACTAATGACTGAAACATAACAATATTTTTTTTAAATTACACATATTTAAAATAGTATAATTTATGTTATATTGCAGAAAAAAACTAATTGATAAACTTTTGTTGCAGTTTCAAATTATTTATTCAGTTATTATTTTATTTACCAGCATGGAAAATGCCACACTTTGAACTAGACTTTATTGAAGGGGTGTAGGAATGAAGGGGAAGGGAAGTAAGAAGATAAACTGTAGGTAGGTAGGTAGGTTGATCGGGCGTCCTACGATGATGCCCAGAGACTCAGAGTGGGGGGACCGTCTCTGTAATATTTTTGCAGAGTGATTGGACCGCCCCGATTCAACCTAGTAGTGAAGACGGTTATAGGATTGTGAATGGGAAGTGAGGAAATAGAGGGAGGGATTGAGGGAGGGAGGGTTAGAAAGTACGAGAAGAAGAACACTAGTGTAATGGCGGGGGATGACACACACAACTGGAGGTAAGATCCAATATGCAGGTTTATTCAGCGTCAGGCATACAATGGTCAAATCAGGTGTTAACATGTATATTCAGGCAAATCCAGAGTCGTAATCAATATACAGGCAATAGGTCATAAGGCAGGCGGCTAAACAGGAGAACAAGGGTAAACAAGGCTAAGGTCTAAACATGGGAAACAAATAAGGGAAAACGCTTTGTAATGCTACTGAAACAGCTAACAAGATTCGGCAAACTGGATGAGTAAATAAGTGGTTAATGTAGGGTGTGTAATCAGTCTCTGACAAGGTTCAGCTGGTGAGAATGTAATCAATCTTGATGAGGGAGCATGTGTGAGTGTAACCGGAGAGCATGTATGAATATGTAGTCCAGGGGAAGGTGGAAATGTAGTCCTTAGTTTCTATCTATCTATCTATCTATCTATCTATCTATCTATCTATCTATCTATCTATCTATCTATCTATCTATCTATCTATCTATCTATCCATCTATCTATGTATCTATCTATCCATCTATCTATGTATCTATCTATCATTCTTCCTATCTATCCATCTATCTATCCATCTATCTATCCATCTATCTATCTATCTATCTATCTATCTATCTATCTATCTATCTATCTATCTATCTATCTATCTATCTATCTATCTATCTATCTATCTATCTATCTATCTATCTATCTATCTATCTATCTATCTATCTATCTATCTATCCATCTATCTATGTATCTATCTATCCATCTATCTATGTATCTATCTATCATTCTTCCTATCTATCCATCTATCCATCTATCCATCTATCCATCTATCTATCTATCTATCTATCTATCTATCTATCTATCTATCTATCTATCTATCTATCTATCTATCCATCTATCTATGTATCTATCTATCCATCTATCTATGTATCTATCTATCTATCTATCTATCATTCTTCCTATCTATCCATCTATCTATCCATCTATCTATCTATCTATCTATCTATCTATCTATCTATCTATCTATCTATCTATCTATCTATCTATCTATCTATCTATCTATCTATCTATCTATCTATCTATCTATCTATCTATGTATCTATCTATCCATCTATCTATGTATCTATCTATCTATCTATCTATCTATCTATCTATCTATCTATCTATCTATCTATCTATCTATCTATCTATCTATCTATCTATCTATCTATCTATCTATCTATCTATCTATCTATCCATCCATCCATCCATCCATCTATCTAGCTCTGGAGAGCGATCGCTGGTTATGTGACAACTAGAGGGCTAGTCTGCCTTAAATAAGTTTTAGGGAGTAGGTGATTGGTTAAGGAGACAAAGTGGGATGTGCTTCCATCGCTGAAATCATATCATTTAATACATTAAGTAACATAAATAATTTTTTTTAAATTCAACAATAAAAAGCTTTAAATTGTCATTGTGTCATCAAATTTATCATAAAAGTATTTGGCTAATTTGATGTATAATTCATTTTTTGTTATATACTCTGTATTTTTCTTTATTCAATAAATAAATGCATAATAAATAACAATAAATCTATGTTTTATATATCCATTTAACTACATTAAACATAGGCTTTAAATAAAATTCTCTTCTTTTTTTCTTTTTACTTACATCTTCTGTTCAAATAGCATTAAACTGAACAAACAAAGATACCAGGATCCTGTCTTCAGTCTCCAAATCCTTTAAGTGAAAATGACACACAGGCGCCGTGGGGCAGCTAATGCGGTTAGCTATTAACTGAGCCCTATGAGAAAACAAAGGGGTCTCAAGAGGGCACTTAATGACCTTAAAAGCTTCACTGTCTTCCTTTGGGCCATGTTCAGATCTCTTCAGATACCTCTCTCATTCTCACACACACACACACACACACACACACACACACACACACACACACACACACACACACACACACACACACACACACACACACACACACACAACGCACACACAGAAATATTCATTGATTTCCTTCAGCTTAATCCCTTATTTATCAGGGTGCGCCACAGTGAAGTGAACTTCCAACTATTCAAGCTTATTTTTTAAGCAGTGGATGACTCCCAGCTGCAACACAGTACTGGGAAACACCCATACACGCTCACACTCATTTTCACCTACAGCGCATATCTTTGGACTGTGGGGGAAATCAGAGCACCCAGAGGAAACAGACATGAACAAGTGGAGAACATGCAAACACCACCCAGAAAAGGCACAGCCTGGACTCAAACCAGCGACCTTGCTGTGCGAGAACTAACCACTGGGCCACCATGCTGCCTCACACACACACACACAAAAATAGTTCCGTTACATTGAGATAAAACTAAAAGAATTGTGATTTAGACAGCTTACATCTACATTAAGTGTACTATATAGTCCAAAGATTGACTTGCATGTCATTGGAAGGAATTGACTGACCATGTGTTGATCCGGTAGGCCGGTGGTCAGCAGATAAACACCATCAGTTAAAGCCGAATCTGCCGGCGGTTCATCTTCTAAAGCCCAACGTAGAGCAGAAAGAGTGTTTCTACCGCCAACACACTCCTGTGTCTGAAACCATCTGAAAACAGACACACAAACAGCTGAAGTCTGAATAATTAGCTGAATTGTTTAATGGAGAGCAGATTTTTTAACACATTTCTAATCATAACAGTTTTAATAACTCATTTATTTTATCTTTGCCATGATGACTGTAAATAATATTTCACTTGATATTTTTCAAGATACCAGTATTCAGCTTAAAGTGACATTTAAAGGCTTAACTAGGTTAATTAGGCAGGATAGGGTAATTAGGCAAGTTATTATATAACAGTGGTTTGTTCTGTAGACAATCAAAAAAAATGCTTAAAAGTGCTAATCATTTTGACAAAGTGCACATTGTCTGATATTTTTATTTGATTGTATTTTTTTTATTTTAACTCTAAAAAAGACAGTATTTTTACCCATATCGGCCGATAATGTATTGGTCCAGTAAATATTGTGCATCTCTAATTTAAACAAAAACCTCATGTACATTGCAGTGTGAGCATCAGCAGTAGAGCAGCTTCAGAAACAGCCGAGATGAAAGAGTCGAAGCCTTTGAGAACAGATGGAGAAGAGGAAAGCAGAGTGAGAACAGCAGAAGCACTGATCCTCTGCTCTTACTGCCAAACAGCTTGAAGGTTTTCATGGGTGGCGGGAAACATCTTCCGCTGCCACGACTGGACATCTGATCCAAACCTGTGGAGAACATTCGCAAGGTCACACACAGCAGAGATGAAGTCCGTTATATATAACAAACTGTGTGAATCCTGTCCTCTTGTACTTTTAATTTGCTCATCTTATTTGTTAGGATATACACACTTATTCATTCATTTCAATTCATTCATTCATTCATTCATTCATTTATTCATTCATTCATTCATTCAATAATTTATTCATTCATTTATTTATTAATTAATATATTCATTCAATAATTTATTCATACATTAATTTGATTCTTAATGCAAGTATTTAATTATACATTAACTTATTCATTCCTTCATTCGTTCATGTAATTATAATTTATTTATTATTTAATTTATTAAATTATTCATTCAGTCAGTCATTTATGTATTTGTTTATTCTTTTGTTTATTAATGTATTTATGAATGCATTCATTCATTCATTCATTCATTTCATTAGTCATTTATTTAATTATTAATCAATTCATTATTTAATTATTCATTCATTCATTCATTCATTCATTTATTCAATAATTCATTAATTTAATAATTAATTCATTTATTTATGTATTTATTTATTCATTCATTCATAATTTATTCATTCATATAGTCATTAATTTATTCGTTCAGTCATTTGCTTATTCATATAAGTATTTATTTATATATTCATTTATTTATTTATGTATCTTTGTACAATAATTTATTCATTATTTTATTTATTAATTTATTAATCCAGTCATTTGTTTATTTATTTATTTATTTATTTATTTATTATTTCATTTATTTATTTATTTATTTATTTATTCATAAATTAATTTGATTATTCATGTAGGCATTTATTTATACATTAATTCATTTATTTGTTTATGTATTTATTCATAGATTAACTTATTCATTATTTAATTTATTTATTCAGTCAGTCATTTATGAATTTATTTATTCATCTTTAATAATTTATTTATAAATGTATTAATTTATTCATTTAGTCAATTATTTGTTTATTGTTCTTTCATTATTAATTAATTAATTTGTTTATTCATTGAGTCATTTATTTATTAATTTATTTGTTCGTCCATTAATTGATTAATCAATTCAGTCATTTGTTTATTTGGGAAATTATTTGGGCAAATAGGACTTAGGAAAAATACTATTGGGTTCCCTCTTACAATATGTTTCAGCCTTTACAAGTCTGTCACTGGATATAAAAAAGATGATGTAAATAAAGAATAGGTCCTAACTTGTGTACTCGGGAATGTTAAATGTCACCGGTTAACTTTAGCTCTTTATTTCCATCGTGTTTACGTGACACAAAATCACGTTTTGTAATTTAAGTGCTTAAATGACAACACGGGCCTATAAATGTTTCTGAATAGAGTTTGAAGGGTCCCACAGTGCATGAATGACCCATATAATAAGCTAAATAACAGTCACAAAAGCCCAGATCAGCTGAGGTAACCGTGTAATGATCTGGCTGATGTGACGTGATGAAGCACTCTGGACTGAAGCCCTGCAGCTGCTCTGCTGGATTGATATTGAGGAGCAGGTATGTGCGCTGCGCTAAAATCTATTAAGACTTCTATTTCTGTCAAACTTAAAGTGGATCACTCATGAGTCCACCAAAACTGGAGCAGACAACTGCTGAAGACTGACAGTAAATGGTGCAGAGCCTATTATATAATGACCTTGCTTCTTTTGTGTGTGTTTGGGAGATGGAAATATGATTCTGTGCATTTATAAAAAACAACACTGGTAGTGAGTTTGCTAAGTAAAAAATAAAGTCTTTTAATTGGTATTCATGGTATCATAAGGTAACTTTAAAGGGGAAATTAAGCACTCAGTCAAGTTTACATTATTTTGTAAATAGGTTTCTTCTTTAATGAAAATATCTAAAACAAACTCGATTAATGTAACCAAAACGACATATTTTACTATAGATTTAAGACCTGGGGCACCGCAATCTTGGAATATTGCTGTGTCTGATGTCATGGGGTTGGTTCCGTTCCCTCAGCTGAACAGATACAGTGGAAGTAAAGGGCTGAACACGGAGACTGTAAAGCTCAATTTAACCCAATGTGTGAAGTTGTGGACGTGGAGCTGCTGCAAATACAAGCATCAGATGTGTGTCTAACATAAAATATATGAATTCATTCTATTTTTGTTTTCCCTTTTGATTAATGATCATTTGGTGGAAATCCGCAAAATCCGCAAAGTAGTCAGCTTGATTCTTTACAATTATTAGAGATGTTTTAAGGCTGTAAACCCCCTCACTGCACACTTCCTACACTTTTTTCAGACATTTTCACACTTTTCTCTCATTCAAACACTCTCAAAGTTTAAACTTTGGTAGAAAAATAAGTCCAGTATTATAGAATGAAACCAAATATCAAAGCCTGTTGTCAGGCGCAAACATTCATCGCAAAAGGTTCATAAAGCTTTTCAGCTTTTATGCGGATAATATTGGCATCTAGTGTATTGTTTTTTTCCTGCAGTCACTGATCCACAAAGCTAAAGCAGACTCCATCCTTAAAGGGGTCACACATTGGATGCGCCGCGCACATGACAGATGGAAGTAACACACACCGGACGCGCACATTCGCATGTTATTTAAAATGAAAATATTCAGATGGCACTCTGTGGCATGGCAGAATCAATAACAGAGTCCTGAGACGCAGCTGGGCACCGCAGACAGCAGTCGACTTGTAGTGCTGGTGTGCGTACTCTTATAGAAATCTATGTTTACAATTCTAAAATGCATGGCGCTGTGTGGCACATCGTGGCATGACACATTCAGTGTCCAACCCCATTTACGATGGTCTTGCTGCGGACAGTTACAGCATTTTTAGCATCCTTGTTGAAAATCACACTGCTAGCCATTGAATATTTCTGGTAATGTGGCAAGCTGAATGCATTCTCTACTGTACAGGAGACACAGAGAAGATTGATTGATAATGGTCTACAGCCAATCAGGATGCAGAACACAATGCGCTGTAAAAAAAAAAAAGTCAAATTGTAAAAAAAAAAAAAAAAACGCGAACCGCGTTTTAGCGAGGGACCACTGTAATGCCATCAGGGCTTTACATTAACACCCGCCAACCCGCCAAATGCGGGCAGATTTCAGCTTTGGCGGGTTAGACAGACAATCCCACTAGCCACTTTGGCTGGTTTAAAATAATTTTTAAATTGTAGTTTTCCTAAAAGCAGGGTTCGACAATATAAGGATGACCCAATATGAGTGCAAATTTGATTTTAGAATCGAGAAGCAAAATAATTGTGATCACGCGAGCAGAAGAAAGCAAGTGAAAACCGAATGAGAGAATGATGATCACTGGCGCTAACGGCTGATGTGATGCGCGCGACTTAAAACGAATCCCGAATCGTGAAGCAACCGTGTCTGGAACAGGTTCTGGAAACGCAACTATCATCGGTTCTCTTTCAAATAAACTAGACAAAAAGTGATGAACATGCACCCGCAGTCCTGATGCTTTTAAGAGCTCAAACTTTGTCTTTTTGTAAGCAGCATCGGTTGCTTTCACTTTGAACAGATTATTAAATTGCCTAAAGTTAACCGCGTGCATATGATCATCCTTTCATTAATCATTATTATTCACCTGCTTTCATTTGCTTACGGTTTTATTTGCTTTCATTTTTGTTAAAATGGTTTAATTATCTTTTTTTTTTTACAATATTGCTTTAATGGGAGATGAACACTCCATTTATGTGCAGTTAACTGGTGATCCGAGAGATATTTAGCCACGACAGATTACCCAGCATATTTTTGATACATGACAATAGTTATTTTTTTAAAAGTCAATTGCTCTTCTTTCTATTTTAAGAAATGTTTTGTTAAATAGAAAGAATAGAATACAGCTATACTTTGCTTGTTTTGACACATAAAAAATTTGTGACTAAGAAATAGGCTAATTATTGTTTAGTATGGTTATAGAGATAAATTTGGTAAATCATGCTCATGCTCACCAATCAAAACATTTTTAATGAAGTTATTGAAATGTACAAAATGTCTTCGAGGAAGTTGATCTTTACTCATGCTCATTGAGCAAACTCAGACTCGACACACAAAAATGTCAATGTCAAATTTATGCATATAAAATATATATTCCCAACAACAAAATTGTGGCTAATGAAAATGCAGTGTGGCTAGTAACATTGGAAAACTACTAGCCACAGTGGCCGGTGATTACAAAAGTTAATGTAAAGCCCTGAATGCCATTAAAGATCCATTCTGGGTTCCTCAAAGAACCTTTCTGTGAATGATTTCTAAATCAGTTAATCATTTAATTATTAATCATTTTAATTACTATAATCAATTTTTTTGAAGTTGAAAATGTTCTTGTATTGTAAATTTGAGATGTCATTAAAGTGTATATATAAACTCTAAAATGCTGGGTTGTCATAACCAAGTGTTGGGTCAAATATGGACAAACCCAATGTTGGGTTATTATTTTTTTTTTAAGTTAATTAAAATGTACAATTTTCAACCCAATGTTTGTTATCTGATTATGTCTGCAGGATCCTCCAAATAGTAGCTGAAATAGTCTGGCTTGATGATTTGTCTCCTGCTGAAATGCGTTTCTCTATATTTGGGAAGAACAGCTGGATGACTATGCAGAGACAGTCCCAGTGCTGCCTGTACCTGCTGCACCTAATGCTGCTGCTCTGGCACAGTTGTGTCGCACACAGAGCCATTTATTTGGCTGAAAAGTTTAAAATTTGCATATATGTGAGAAATCACCAATGTGAGCTGCTCCACTTATTAAAAATACAATAAGAGCAATATTTCATGACAAATAAATATAGATGCAAAACTCTCTACAGGCATCATCAAGTCAAATTAAAGGCTTTCATTCATTCATTTTCTTGTCGGCTTAGTCCCTTTATTAATCCGGGGTCGCCACAGCGGAATGAACTGCCAACTTATCCAGCAAGATTTTACACAGCGGATGCCCTTCCAGCCGCAACCCATCTCTGGGAAACATCCACACATTCACACTCATACACTACGGACAATTTAGTCTACCCAATTCACCTGTACCACACGTCTTTGGACTGTGGGGGAAACCGGAGCACCCGGATGAAACCCACGCGAAGGCAGGGAGAACATGCAAACTCCACACAGAAACGCCAACTAAGCCGAGGTTCGAACCAGCGACCCAGCGACCTTCTTGCTGTGAGGCGACAGCACTACCTACTGCACCACTACCTCACCCCAAATTAAAGGCTTTTTAAGACAATTAGACGTGAAATTTCAGACTTACACAAGGCTAAGCGCTAATGTTTTTTTTTCTAATGGCCCAGTTAAAACAGTAAAAAAAATATTAAACCGTATAAAACATATTATTCGAAGGAAGATAATTAACTCATGTCTGTAAATTGAGTTAATAAATAAACTTTTGTTAAAACTAGCTTTATATGAACAGGAAAATTAGGACCTGTTTAAAATGAATTAAGAACTACAACACAAGGGCTGTATTTTGATGGTCCATGCGCAGAGCGCAAAACGCAGGGCGCAAACGCTTTCAGGGCGTGTCAGAACGTATTTTTGCTAATTTAAGGACGGGAAAATCCGCTTTGCGCCATGGCACATGATCTAAAGGGGTTGAGTTTATTTTCTTAATGAGTTATAGGTGTGTTTTGAGAATAAACCAATTACAGTCTCATCTCCCATTACCTTTAAGAGCCAGCTGCGTCGCGCCAAGAGCGCATTCGCTATTTACAGGACGTAAAGTAAGTTCACTTTCGCTCTTGGATAGGGAAACCTTTACGCACAGACATCAATTAGTCTATAAATAAATAATTTTGTTTGTTAAACGCAAATATTCGTTTCAAAACTATTTCTAAATTCAGTTCTAATTTCCAGCAAACGAATAAATGAACAATAATAACGAACTGTGCTCAAAAACCTGAGTTATATCCTAAAACACATGCTGTGCCCCATATGGTCTTAAACCTGACAGGTGGGCAAATCTAAGCTTGTTTTTAATAAAACAAATATAAATATGGAGATAATAAATAATACTGCTAATAATAATAACATTATACAAAAGCAAATTGTTATGAATGAACTGAAAAAGCCTCCCGAGATGAAGAAGACATAAAAGCAGTGGTTTTTCATATTTATGTAGGCTAGAAAATAAAATGTTTGGTAATATTTTAATCCTTTATATTTATATTCTATATCTATTCTTATTATATCCTATATATATCCTTAATATTTACAATTTTTTCATATGTAAAGATATTTGCCTATTGCTCTCTTGTGCGTATTAAGCAGTGTGTAAGCGAGGCGCAACTCTGCGCCGGAGTTTAGACCGGGTTAGTTTTGGTCTAATGAAAAATCTATTTTAGTCTCTCAAAATAGCAACGCGCCAGCGGTCCGCCTCCCTTTTTAGACCAGAACGCCTATGGGCGCACAAATGAGCGCAACTGCATTTGCTAAAACGCCAGGCGTATGATAGGGCCCTATATATTTAATTGAATTTAAGACTTTTTAAGGCCCAAAATTTTGTTTTTAAAATTTAAGACATTTTAAGACTTTTTAAGACCCCACGGATACCCTGTAAAAGGGCTTCCAGTGACAATCTGTAGGAGATTTGAAGACGGAATAACTAAGCAGATCAAAATCTGTCATGTACTGTAAGAGACTGAAATCAGGCGAGAGAGACTTTGTGTGTGTGTATGTGTGTGTGTGTGACCTACAGGATGACATTGAAGCTGTGTTTTCCGGCCATCTGCTCCTGCAGGAGTGTTCGCAGCGCGTGCTGGATGTGGAGCTGGAGGTGTGTGTTCATCCCAGACATGTCCAGCAAAACCTGCACCCTTCATGGAGACACAAACACACTCCTGAACACTAGATAATCCTCACAACATGAGGTTAATAGAGTCACACAGAGGTTAAAGCCTTGAAAATAAAGATCAATATTTAATAATACTCCACTTCATCTCACAAACGTGCTGGATACAGCACACTGGTAAAGGTTTTTCAGCACATTTTGTTAATATTGTTCATTTATTCGTTTGCTAGAAATTAGAACTGAATTTAGAAATAGTTTTGAAACGAATATTTGCGCTTAACAAACAAAATTATTTATTTATAGAATAATTGATGTCTGTGCGTAAAGGTTTCCCTATCCAAGAGCGAAAGTGAAAGTGATCCATATCTCTCATTCTCACGCAGTAGATGCTCTGTTTAACAGTTTTCTGTTAAAAAACTGTCAACTGTTAACTGTTTGCTTGTAAAATGTTCATTTTTTCCACTTAGACTTACTTTGCGTCCTGTAAATAGCGAATGTGCTCTTGGCGCGACTCAGCTGACTCTTAAAGGGAATGGGAGATGAGACTCTAATTGGTTTATTCTCAAAACACACCTATAACTCATTAAGAAAATAAACTCAAACCTTTTAGACCATGCGCCATGGCGCAAAGCGGATTTTCCCGTCCTTAAATTAGTAAAAACGCGTTCTGACACGCCCTGAAAGCGTTTGTCCTGCATTTTGCGCTCTGCGCATGGACCTTCAAAATAGAGCCCTAAGACTGTAAGGTTATTTCAGTTCACTTTTGTAAGCTGAATAATTTTAGTACTGAAATCCACATATAGATCAAATTGAGAACTATAAAAAAGTGGCAAAACTGGAACAACTCATTGAACAAAAAAACAACAACACAATTTCGGTGTAATGACATACTGGTTATGTCATTTCAGTATGATTACAAAAAAAAAAGTATTACTTTGTTTTGCACATTCTGTTGACTACAAGTTAAATTAAACAATACATTTAAATATGCTGATAACTATATTTGTGTCCACTCTAACAAATGAGCATGATCTGTTTAATTTGAGTAGTTTTTTTTTTGTGTTAACCCCTTGTGACCAGCAGGTGCTTTGCTTCTACTGCATCTGACCTGTGAATCCAGCTTGTGTAATCTATCTAATCAAACAGTAAATCTGGAGACTGCAATCAGTGTAGCAGAATAGAAACAAGATAAACTATTTCAGATGAGGCAACACAAAGATACTGAATCTATACTGACACCTGAGGTCATTTAAAAATAAAAATAAAACTTTAATTTGCCAGCGGGGCTTGCATAGATCCCATAATGTTTATATTCATCATTTCTAGTTATCAAAATAGCAATCATTTTTAAATAATCTCTGAAAAGAGGGCTCAACAGTAAGTGTTTTGCTTCTATACAATGTCGTCTGTAGTTTTAAAGTCCTTTATATTTAATGGGTTGTGACTAGCTGTCAGTGTTTTTAGCTACAAAGTAAAGTTTACTTATAAACAAATTTCGAGAGGAGCATGTGCTTATGATTGTTCACAGCTGTTTCAACTTTAGCTAACGACTGATTATCCTATCAGAAGATCCTTAACTCACTATAAATAACCAGACTTTTCTCATCTCAATATCTTCGTCTTGAAGAAACCCCCCCACCCAACCCTACTTTCCCTCCTTTCAAACGGGCGTCACGGTGGCCAGCGATTAGCGCTGTTGCCTCACAGCAAGAATGCCCCTGGTTTAATTCCTTTCCAAACCACACGGCATTTCTCTGTGGAGTTTGCTCGATCTCCCCGTGGTCGCGTGGGTTTTCCCTGGGTCCTCCGGTTTCCTCCCACAGTTCAAAAACAAGAACTCTAAACAATTAATCCAAATACTTTAGCTAAACTCTGAGTACACCTTTCAGCATCCATATCTGACACTTAGCTACAACAAGCAAGAGGGGGAGTCATCGAGGTCTACCTGAGCTCAAACTCCCCTCTCGCCTTGCAACAGGAGGGAGCCCAGAGCTCGAGGATCTTATAAGCTCAGGGCTCTCTCCCAGGACAGCACGCCAAACTAGCTTTACTATCAATCATCAGCTAAGTGTGAACTCTTGAAAAATGGTCTGAAAGTGATCCCAACAATAGATTTCTATCTTCTCAATGCAAGCACACTAGCTTATAGATATCCTTAAAACTAACAAAAATGGTACTACTGATATCTAAAAATCTTTATTTTAATTTGACAGGACCTTTAAATCACCTTCCTGATGCTCGGTTTGAACTTCAGTAGATCATCTCGACCGAAGTAGCTCCCATTTGATTGGCTTTTTGTGTTCATGTGCATTATAAAGTCACTGGTTGTGCTCTCTGTCATCTGCAGTGTCCTCCAACACGCATACAGTACAGTATGCTTCCTATAATTTGTGAAGTGCACATTGCGGGGAGCTGCTGAAATGACTGTGGCACACACTGAGTGTGAGCGCATGCTCTTCTTCTTACCTCTGCTCACACACACTTCCCCAGATCATCCGACTGCTCGTCTGGTTCAACCAAGCCACTCTCCTCTCACACACACGCACCGCTCGCAGGAGTCGCTTCTGCATGACACAGAAAACAAAACAAAAAATATGTACAAATGCAACAAAAATATATAGCTCTTTGGGTTTTTTTTAACACCAATACAAAGGATCAACAATTAAAAAAAAAAAAAGCAAAATATGCTTGATATGGGTTGCAACTGAAATCTGCAGGAAGGTAGATCTCCACCCTAGTAGCAAAGAATTCTGGCCCAGATTTGGCATAAAGCTGGCACAGCAGGCATTCATCCGGCACTGGCATACAGCATGTGGGCCAAACATGGCCCGGGTTTGGCAGAGGTGGCACCGTTTTTAAGGCGGCACACAAGATTTGGGCCAGATGAAAAACTTAGTATTTGGCCCAGATTTACAAATGTGATAAGTGGGCCACGTGAGTTTGGCCAGTCTTGACCCACTTTTAAAATACACTAAAATCATTTTTGAGTAAAAAAAAAAATTCTACCAATCAGGTCACTTTGAGAAAAAGCGTGCCCATAGTGTGCCTAAAGCGCATCACTCCATGGGTTTATCAGTTTCATTGCAATCGTGACACACCAACCTATCTGGCCCAGTTCAGACCCAGTTATGAGTTATTAACTTGGCTGAGACTTGGCCCAGATATGGTCTGTGTTTGGCCCTTGTCTGGAAGCCAGATTTGGTCCAGTCATGTACCGTAATTCACTGCGGCATGTGGGCCAAGCAAAACCTGATTGTGTGGGCCAGAGCTGGGCCAGAGAAATTTTGCTATGTGGGCAGGAACAGGATTGGCCACCCCTGCACTAGGGGCATCAGAGACTTATTGTTACATCTTGTAAAAAGGGGCATAGTGCGTCCACTTTAAAATATATACCTGGTAGCTGTGCAGCGATGGCGGATCAACATGCAGATTCTTCACAGACCCGTCCGGCCAGTCGACCTGCACCATGAGCCTCTGCAAACCAACACGGAGAAATTTCAAATTTTCTGTATGGGTCAACAGAAGAGACTCAAAGGTCATCCTATAACTGCAGGTACATTTATTTGGCATTTCAAATTAAAAGTAAATGAATGTTGCACTATATCCCCATATAAAAATAAATGTATCTCTAATATCCATAACAAATTACAAACAATATTCCCCCCCTCATCCAATAAATATAAAGATAGCTGGGAGAAGGACATGGGTACCCATATTCCTGATGACATCTGGGAAGAATCTTTGGAACACATACACTCCTGCTCCTATAATACGAGACATCGTCTTATACAATTCAAAATTATACATAGGCTTCACTTTTCAAAAGTAAAGATCCACTACATTTTCCCAAACGCTTTATCCAACTGTGATAAATGTCAGTCCCCTAATGCAACACTTTTCCATGCTTTTCTTTCTTGCCCGAAGGTCACAAACTACTGGTCTGATGTATTTAATGTATAGTCAAGAATTTTTAAGACTACACTGTTACCTGAACCATTGTTGATCATTCTTGGCACATCAGAGTTATTCAGAAAATTTACTTCAGCCCAACAGCGGTTCATTTCCTACTCTCTTATTACTGCAAAAAAAATTGCTTTTGATGTCATGGAAAGGACCAACGATACCTACTGACAAAATGTGGCTTCGAGATCTCTCCAATACTTTACATTTAGAAAGAATTAGATATCTGTTGAAGGACAATCTCTCAGGTTTTTATAATATTTGGCAACCCTTCATAGACTTCTTACAATCAGTATCTGCATAAACACGTATTTTCTTCCATTTTTTATATATAAACTCTTATTGTACTTCTTGCTACAAAATTGTATTCTACTTCCACATTGTTCGTCTTTTCTGCTTTGTTTTGTATGTATATTCACACAAAAATATTTGAGCCTTTTTTATATTGTTGATTGAAAATGTATAATATATATACTGTATGCTCAATAAAAAAAAAAAAAGACAATTAAAAGTAAATGGAAAAAACTCTTTATAAACAACAAATCTTTCCAGTGTTTTATTGAAAATGAGTGGCGTGGTGGCTCAGTGGTTAGCAAGAAGGTTGCTGGTTTGAGCCCTGGCTAGGTCAGTTGGCATTTCTGTGTGGAGCTCGACCTGTTGGTGTGGGTTTCCTCTGGGTGCTTCAGTTTCCCCAACAGTTCAAAGACATGCGCTATAGGGGAATTGAATAAACTAAATTGGCCGTAGTGTTTGAGTGTGAATGAGAGTGTATGGGTGTTTCCTTGTACTGGGTTGCAGCTGGAAGGGTATCTGCAGTGTAAAACATATGCTGGAATATTTGGTGGTTCATCCCGCTGTGACGACCCCTGATTAATAAAGGGACTAAGTCGAAGGAAAATGAATGAATGAATATACAACACTTTTCACTGCTTTACATCTTATCAGTGAGAAAAAATTATATTATTATCTGGGGTTTTTGGATAGTTGTGGGAGATAATTCCACCAATTTAAAGGTATTTTTTACCTTTTTAGGTAATTTTTTACCCAATTTAAACCTTTTTAAAATTTTGACAAAATATACAATACAAACGTATGGGACAATCCAACTTTATTTATTTTTATGGATATTTTATTTTATCATTGAACAGTTACAGGGTATCCCCGGGATCCTCCAAATGAAATTCAAGGCTTTTTAAGACCTTTTTAATACCATTTCAAATTAAATTCAATGCCAACTTCGTACCAATTCCGACAGAAGTATAAGGAAAAAAGGTTAAATCTGCATAAATTTTGAACCCTTTAGAAAATAATTATGCACAAGTGACTACTAGAATTGAATAAAACATTTGACTTAAATGGTCAATTACGTTTAATACATATGCAACAGCATAACACAAAATTGATTTGTAATAAACAAGTAAATTTGAACTTGGTGTTGAACACCAGGGGCCTCATGTATCAACGCTGCGTACGCACAAAAACTTTGCGTACGCCAGGTTTCACGCTCAGAATCGCTCATGTTTGGATTTACTAACAATGAACTGAACGTGGGAATGTGCGCAGCTCCACGGCAGCTTTCTGGCTGGCGTACGCACATTTTTTGTGCGTGTCTGTTTTATTTCCATTGGCGACTCCTAGAGGCAGTTGTGTTAAATTGCACTCTACAAAGTGTCTGAGCCTTGCAATGGCAGCTGTATGAGACGGGTTCATCTAGCAGGTAAGTAAGGTTTCCACACCATACAGTTGACCAGCCAAACTTTAAAGCACAATTTGCAGCAGTCGCCTGTTTTCCCAATGTAATCTGAGCGATCTACTGCATGCACATTGATATAAAGACACTATCTGAAGATGAATTTGCATGCGTGAATCAGAAACATTTCCATTCAATAAATGTGCAAATAAATTATGATGCACAAACTTATTGATGATTCCTACTTGTCTTTCTCGTGATAAATAGTTGGCAAAATCTGATATGTAGCGGGGAAAAAAAGAAGAAAGAGTTCATCAGACGCTGGATTCGAGCCGAGTTCATGCTCGAACATGTCAATTCAAGATCACATGCGTTTTACAAGGTGCGCCACTGAGACTGCTAATAGTACTGCAACATTTTACAGATATAAATCTCACTATTTCTTTTTTTTAATGCACTCAGTGCGATGTTCAGACCCAACTGTGTTAACCGCATCAGCTAAACTCTACCACTCTATTTTTTTCTTTTGTTGTTAATTCCGGAGAACAAACTTGCAAATAACACCGCTTTTCTCCGGTCTACCTCCGAAAGCAGCACCTCCAATTCACATTCTGTTCAAAGTTTCTCTTTTTGCTTGCTTTTGCCGTTGCTTTTTCGTTGGGATTTTTCCATTAGCATAGTCATTAGCATATTCATACGGGGGAGGAGGCAGGGAGGGGTTTTGCGCTCGTGCATGTTGCGCTCAGTTTCACATTCATTCTGATGTACAAAAGAATATGCGTGAGATTCGGTGTACGCAGTGTTTCATACATCTGAATTTTTTTCTGCGTACGCACATTTACAGCTTTGTGCGTACGCAATGTTTTAGTAAGATTTCCACGCAAGTCTTCGTACATAAGGCCCCTGGTCTGCTGCCTTGGCTGCAATTTTTTTCGCCCAGACTCTCAAGTCCTGTCAACTTCTGCTTGTGGCTTTTTCTCAACGCGTTTGCCGTAGAGTTGGTGTTGAGCCACAGTAAGATAGGATGTTCCTTGGCTGTGTTGACAATGCTTCTAATGTAGAAATTAGAGGTGTGAACCTACACTGGTCTCACGGTTTGGTTCGGTTACAATTATCTTGCCATCTATTCAGTTCAATTCGATATCTCTGTGCATCACGATGCATACACAGTTTTATATTGGGGGAGCTGTCTATATAAACACACACACACATAAAAACAAAGCACTAAGCAAGCGACACACAGCAATACGCTCTCTCTCATTCACACACATAAACACTCACACATATACACACACACACACACGCGCTTGCTCGCTCGGGAGCGATTTTCCAACCACTCCTGTGCTTTATTCTGAAATGTATTCCCGCCACGCAAGAAATCTGGTCGGGTCCCGCAGGAATGCAGACATCTATCCAGAAGTATGGCTGTAACAGCCGAGAGGAGAGGAAAAGTCACGGCAGCAGGTCAAATGGGCCACAGTGAGAGAGAGAGAGAGATAGAGATTGACTTTCATTCTCTCAATCGCAGTGAAATAGGAGCTTCTGCTGTAAGTGTCAGTGAAAGACTGTGCAGAAAACACATGCGATGAAATTGTGCACAGCTTCTGTGTTTTTAAGTAGTTGGAGCGTTGAAAATACTTGTGCGCTTCTCCCTCAACATAGTAAGCTATTTGGCGACACACTTTCTGCTATGATGTAAGGCGCTAGATGCACTCATTGTTACGCTAAATGAATTTTTAAATTAGCCTACATTAGTAACAGTTAACTTGGTATGAACTTTAATCCTAGGAAAGGCAAAAATAAATAAATAAAATCAGATCTTTGTAATGAAATCCAAGACTTTGTATATCAAATTCAAAGCTATTAAGGCCTTAATTTAAGATTATCAAATGTAAGACTTCTTCAATGCTTTTAAGACTCTGCGGGTTCTCTGTGCTAAAGAAACAAATGTGTCAGACCCAGCAATCTAATTATCCGCACCTAATTTTTACAGACACATTTTTGCAGAAAATACTGTGTTGTCATGGCATGTACCCTCTTGAGATCTTGGGAATAGTAAGTAACATGTTTTATAAATAATAAAAAATTCAAACCATTTAATAATAATAATAATAATAATTCGTTACATTTATATAGCGCTTTTCTGGGCACTCAAAGCGCTTTACACAATGGGGGGGGAATCTCCTCATCCACCACCAGTGTGCAGCATCCACCTGGATGACGCGACGGCAGCCATATTGCGCCAGACCGCACACCACACACCAGCTGAATGGTAGAGAGGAGACAGAGTGATGAAGCCAATCATGATATGGGGAGGGTTAGGAGGCCATGATGGACAGAGGCCAGTGGGCAGATTTGGCCAGGATGCCGGGGTTAAACCCCTACTCTTTTTCGAAGGACATCCTGGGATTTTTAACGACCACAGAGAGTCGGGACCTCGGTTTAACGTCTCATCCGAAAGACGGCGCTCACTGAGCAGTATAGAGTCCCCGTCTCTATACTGGGGCATTAGGACCCACACAGACCGCAGGTTGGGCGCCCCCTGCTGGCCTCACTAACACCACTTCCGGCAGCAACCTAGCTTTCCCAAGTGGTCTCCCATCCAGGTACTGACCGGGCGCAGCCCTGCTTAGCTTCAGTGGGCGACCATGTGAGAGTTGCAGAGAGCTAGCTATTTTTTTTTTTTTTATAAAAAGCTCAAATAAAGTTAATAAATGATGGCATTGGACACCAGATGTACCTGCAGTCACAGAATCCCTGACACACTCCTCACCTCATGCACTGTAGAGGAAACGGTCTTTCCCAACACCGCCACAAACGTCTCATGTGGAGAATATGCGTTTCTGGCCAGCAGCTGATACAGATCCAGCCTCTGAGCTGCATGGGCGGACACAACATGAGCCATTAGCAGATGCACAATCAAAGCCACACATGCACAAACATGCAAGATTGTCAGATCTAGGGGTTTAGTTTGCTGCATTGCTGATTATTTAGAAAGCATCTTCAACTGAGTTTGATTTCAGAAGCCAACATTAAGGGCCAGATTTACTCACCGCTTGCATCAGCACAAACCCTCTTTGGCTTTAAAAACACTGCCGTCAGGGTTTACAGGAGACACGCAGGCTGAAAGGCTTGGACACTGTGAACTTGTTTTTTTGCATATGCATTTGTTTTAGTCCTTTTAAATGCCAAAATGTTGGAGAGAAGTGTATTTATGCTGTTATTTAACACTGATTCTGCAACTGTCCCATATGGCATACAAATGTGAGCCACTTTAGGTAGTTATGCGGCACTCTTTGCAGAGTTTTGAAGGCAAATGTTGGCAGGTACACAGGTAAAACCCAAAAAGTTAAGGTAACTCAAACCATTTGAGGAAACCGATTGCAACAAACCATTTAAGTTCAAAACAAATAAACCCAATAAATGAAGAGAGCTCAAATCAACTGAGTACTGAAAAACCCAATAAGTTAAGGCAACTCAAACCGCCTGAGGAAACCAATTGCTACAAACCATTTGAGTTAAAAAAACTAATCTATATGAATACTGTGAACTTACTCCATTTGAGTTCAAGTAAAGAGATATTTAACTAACTCATTCCCCTAAACACTGAGTTCAAAATTCTTTTTAAATGAGTAGAATTAACTTTCAGTCCATTTTGAGTTAACTACACTTATTTCATTTGATAAAGTTGACTGTTGGCTTTTATAGTGCATGCTTTAGGATGTTATTGTAAATGAATGTTCTCTCAGAGTTGATAGAAAAAAAATTCCTATAAGATTAATATATTGTAAATGGAAAGTTCTAATAACATTACATATAATGTTCTGAGAACATGACTGAAACCATTTTGAATTAAGTTATTATAAAAAATCATCAAAGTTTGAGAGGACAGCAAAAACAGCACTTTTTCGGCGCAGGAAGTTAAAAATATCCAACTTGCTGTTGGGTTTGAGATTTTGCTACAAGAGACTTTTTTGTAGGTGTTGGCATGTTTGAGGTGTGTGCCAATTTTCGTGCTTGCGCGTGAATCATAGCTCTGGGGCCAGTCCGTCAAAAATGCATAGGTGGCGCTGTCGAGTCCTTTTGCCATGCCCACTTCCGAAACCTATAACAAACGTAAATTTTCGACACTTGGGGCGTGTGCATAGTTTTCGGCATATTTAGCCCCTCAAAATCACGATTCATTCTGGAAAAGAAGAGTTGCTGACATTTACTTCAGACACGAAAACTCTAATGGCGGATGGCTGCTTTTTACTCAGGGCTGTCTATGCTAATGAGGGAGAGATCATTACTAATGGGCGGGACGTCTGATTCCCCGTCTGATAATGCGTACAAAGGGAGAACGTCAATCAAAGTGTTTCTGCAGATTCAAGAGTGCTTATAAAAATAGAGTAATTAAAAATAGAGTAATTTTCTACCACCTGAAACTGGTTATATAAACACACACTCTCAGAAATAAAGGTACGGGAGCTGTCTCTGGGGCAGTACCTTTCAAGATACAAGATACAAAGATACATATTTGTACCTAAAGAGACCAAAGTGGTACTTCAAAGGTACATATTAGTACCCAAATGCACCTTAAATGTACCAATATGGTCCATTAAGGTACCAATATAGCCTCTTAAGGTTCAGATATGTACCTTTAGAGAAGGTACTGTCCCAGTGACAGCTCCCGTACCTTTATTTCTGAGTGCACTGTTGCCACAAAACTATGTTTAAACCTCTTATAAAAGAGATTTTTGCATAAGAAGTCTCCTTTTATACACCATCTAAAAATCTGTTTAAAAAAATAACTTTATTTAACTACATGGAAACATGTTTAGAACCTAAAATTGCTAGATTGGCTTATCCTCATCATTGTTTCTGTGCGTCTGTGACCTAATAAAATGTATTTCTTTGTGCATTGTGCTGTTCTTTTTGAAAATGAGCAGTTGTGCCAGTGTTTTCTATTTTATGCTATGTCAACAGATCATTTTATAGGACTGTGCTCTCATGCCAATTTGCTCTGTTTGTTAAATCTTGCCCATTGTCTTATTTTACTCTATTTTATTCTAAATCAATTTCCTATGGATAAAAGTCCTGTCTTTTACACTCAAATATGTTAGTTTGAGTGTATTGTTGGAGGCTCTTAGATGCCCTCATGTCAGGGTTTGAACAGACAGAAAGTTTCAGACTCACCCTTGAGGCCGTGTTTCTTTAGCCAATCACTGGAGGTTTGCTGTGCAGGATCTGAGGGGCTGAAGATCAGTGGAGCACTGAGAGCAGAGTGCACAGGACTGAGCTCAGATAGAGAGAGATCAGACAATCCTGCGGAGATCTGAGAAGCGAGAGGAGACGACAGAAAGAGCAAAAGGACTGGCTGAAAACATGTACAGTGTTGTCTTTCTGGCGTAAAAAAAACAAACATTAATGATTAATCCTTTAATACTACAAATGAGTCTGAGATGAAGTACAGTTATTCTGCCTTCTGTGAATTTTTTTTTCTTTTTCAAATATTTCCCAAAGATGTTTAACGGAGCAAGGATTTTTTTTTTAACAGAATGTCCTATAATATTTGTTCTTTTTTTTAAATCTGCTCTCCATCAAACAGAAATTGGAGGAAAAATATGTATGTCACAATCACCAGTGATCTACAACCTGAGATCGCTGGTAAACACTCCTTTTCACATGAACTACAAATCCACAATGTTTTGGACTACATATTCAGTCATGCAGCACACACCTGTTCCAAGTCTCCTCTGATTAGACTTTTACATCTAGGACTCATGCTTGGACTATAAGTACTGCTCAAATACAAACACTGTTGCTGAGTCTTGTTATCCTTTGTCTTGTTTTTCTGTGTTTTTGATCCTCGCCTTGTTTATTTGTTTAATCCTGTTTGCTGCCTGCCTTGTGATCATCTGCCTGTTATTTTGACTATGACTCTGGATTGCCCTTATACATCTGTTTGCCCCTGTATTGACCACTGCTTGCCTGACCATTCTAATAAACCTGCATGTGCATCCGCACCTCTGTTGTCAGTGTCACATCCCTAGTTACAATATGCAACGGGGCTAATAATTCTGACTTCAACTGCATAAAAAACAGAGTAAAAATGTGTTTGTTGAATGAATTTTGTTCGAGCAAAAATAAAAATGAGTGCATTAGTACTCAATTCAATAGAGAAACTTTCTTGGAACATTAATATTATGTGGATGGAATGTTCTAACTATGTTTTAAATAGCATTCTGAGAATATTAATGTAACTTGGCACTGAAACGTTACGAAAACGTTTTAAATAGCGCTATTATAACCCAAAAAATGTTGCAAATATTGTAAAAAAAAAAAATTGTAATACTATCTATCTTAAAAAAGTTTAATGTTTTGAACGTTCTAAGAATATAAATTTAAAAAAAGGTTATTCACTTTAATGGGAACATTTTCAAAACCTAAATTTCTCACTGTTGTGTGTGTAAAGAGTAAAAATAAAACCAAATTGATCAAAATTATTCTGTGATGAAGTATACTGCAAAGAGGGAAAAAAGTACTTCTGCACTGAATAAATTAGTTCAGGCAAGACTAACATGTAGTGTATAAATACTCAACTCCAGCTTGTAAAAAATAAGGCATGAACTAAAATTATTTGTTACGCTTACAAAGATTCTTTGAGGACAGATGTGTCAAAAGTAAAATAATTGAGTAAAAGCTATTCAAGGTGGTCCCATCATGCACTGGGACATTTTGCAGAAATTATTTTAATTTCATATAAACGTGTTTATTTTTCTCTTCTTTAAATCAATTTGGTACCAGTGCTATGTTTTTAATGGAAAAATCATACATGCTTTTATAGATATAAATATTTAAAAAACTATAATACATATATATTTTTTTGTTTAAGTGCAAATGCTTTTGTACACGTATTATGCACTGTAAAAATAATATGTCATGAAACAAACAGTCATGAAAACAAATGTTTTTATGTAACTTTAACTAATATTATTCAGTTGATCAGATTTCAACTACATTATTGTCAGTTTTTAAAAATTTTACTTCATATTTTTAGTCAGTTTGGCGGATGTACGTTGAGATTACTATAAAAGCTCCATTGAGTCAGCTAAAAACTCATTTTTAAAGTGTGTTGTTATTTGGCACTAACTTTTAACATATAAGGTTTTCTGATGCCCTTACACAAAAAAATAACTCATTGAATGAACTCAATTTAATTAAGGGCAGGATCTACCGCCATTAAATTTGTTTAGCACCACCTAAAAAGATATTTACATAATTAAATGCAGTTGAGTTGGTCCAACATGATTTTATCAAATAAAAGCTAAAATACATTTGCATTTCATTTACCTTAAACTCTGATAACATCATGTTGAAGTCAGAATTATTCGCCCCCTTTGGATTATTTTTCTTTTTTAAATATTTCACAGATTCTGTTTAACAGAGCAAGGACTTCTTCACAGTGTTTTCTGATTCTATTTTTTTGATTGACTTTTCTGACTTCAACTGTACGATTACTTTTATTGTCAACATTTCCCTCTATTAATTCAATCCTACGCAAACCATGCTGGGAACTGCAAATCCCCAAATCAGGTTGGACCAACACAAAACGATTAAGTTAACTTAATAAATTTAAGTGGATTGAACATAAAACAAATAAATTGGCCAAAGAAATTACAAGAATTGTGTTCTTTCAGCTCATTTTAGACAGGTAGTTTAAACTAGCAGTAGTAATCTTTTTTATTTTATTTTTTGGAGTGTATGTGGGACCTAAGTACATATTAATATAGTATTAATCTTCTTTAAAGTGAAATATAATCCAAATGTAAATTTTAAAAATAGCCTTAATGTAAATATATGAGTTGTTTTTTGTGTACTGTACTTAAGTGTGTATCACCTGTGAGTCGACAGAGGCTGCTGTGTCTCCATCTCCACCCTGCTGAATGCTCTGAATGTGGGCAAGAGCATCTCGAGCTGCTTTAATCTCCGTCCAAAGCACATCTACATCAGTGCTGCTGTCTACTACACCCTAATCATCACACACACACACACACACACACACACACACACACACACACACACACACACACACACACACACACACACACACACACACACACACAAAAGGAGTCACAACAAACACTGACAACATCCAAACACATCAAGGGCTCTATTTTGACGGTCCATGCGCAGATTGCAAGACGCAGGGCGCAAATGCTTTCAGGGCGTGTCAGGACGCGTTTTTGCTAATTTAAGGACGGGAAATCTGCCTTGCGCCGTGGCGCATGGGCTAAAAGGGTTGAGTTTATTTTCTTAATGAGTTATAGGTGTGTTTTGAGAATAAACCAATTACAGTCTCATCTTCCATTCCCTTTAAGAGCCAGCTGCGTCGTGCCAAGAGCGCATTCGCTATTTACAGGACGCAAAGTAAGTTTAAGTGGAAAAAATGAGCATTTCACTAGCAAACAGTTAACAGTTTATTAACAGAAAACTGTTAAACAGAGCATCTACTGCGTGAGAATGAGAGATATGGATCACTTTCACTTTCGCTCAAGGATAGGGAAACCTTTACGCACAGACATCAATTAGTCTATAAATAAATCATTTTGTTTGTTAAGCGCAAATATTCGTTTCAAAACTATTTCTAAATTCAGTTCTAATTTCCAGCAAACGAATAAATGAACAATAATAACAAAATGTGCTCAAAAACCTGAGTCATATCCTAAAACACATGCTGTGCCCCATATGGTCTAAAACCTGACAGGTGGGCAAATCTAAGCTTGTTTTTAATAAAACAAATATAAATATGGATATAATAAATAATACTGCTAATAATAATAACATTATACAAAAGCAAATTGTTATGAATGAACTGAAAAAGCCTCCTGAGATGAAGAAGACATAAAAGCAGAGGTTTTTCATATTTATGTAGGCTAGAAAATAATATGTTTTGTAATATTTTAATCGTTTATATTTATATTCTATATCTATTCTTATTATATCCTATATATATCCGTAATATTTACATTTTTCATTTGTAAAGATATTTGCCTATTGCTCTCTTGTGTGTATTAAGCAGTGTGTAAGCGAGGCGCAACTCTGCGCCGGAGTTTAGACCGGGTTAGTTTTGGTCTAATGAAAAATCTATTATAGTTTCTCAAAATAGCAATGCGCCAGCGGTCCGCCTCAGAACGCCTTCCTTTTTAGACCAGATGGGCGCACAAATGAGAACTAATGCATTTGCTATTTAAACAGTGTAGCGCAACGCCTCAAAACGACTCTTGCGCCAAGCTAAAACTAGCAAAAGACTATTGCGCCGCGCCTTGCGCCACACTGCGCCAGGTGTATGATAGGGCCCCTACAGTTTAATGCAACTAAACACCACAGCACAAGATATTGCAGGCTATATTACCAGAGCATCAGAAAACAGGTGATATCTCCCATTGGAAACTGCGGCCATTTTCTTCACAGTGTCCTGAGGCGGTACACATCAGTCAGACATTGATGAGGAATATGCTTCAGTGTATTTATTAATAATAAAGGGGAGTGTAGACTCACAATGGCGGCTGGACTGCTGCAGTTGTAGGCGACCATATGAACTGAGATCTTCGGGTGCTGAGCTAAACAATCACATATAACCTCTACTGTCTGCTCAGGGCTAAAAATACAGTATATACAGTCATCAGATTATCAGTATTTCAGCTCTCACACTTCACACCAGAGGCAATTTAATTTGAACACATTGGACAGAAACAGTAGCTTTGCTCACTAATTATTTCTAGCGATTCTGTATGGAGTTTTAGCAGCATGTAACATATTGAATTAAATATTAAAACAGTGTTGTAACACACTTTACTGTTGCTATATTGATTGGGTGGCAACAGAGGTGAAGGTCCAAATGCAGATTTATTTGAGAGTAATCAGAGTAATCAAGCGTTTTTCTAAGGGTTTATACAATTTAATAGATTAATTGTTTATAAAATTGTTTATATAATCGTAATCACGGGTGGAAAAGTCGAGGCAGGCAGCAAAACAGTATAAACAGTAAACAAAACAAAGGGTCAGAAACACAAATAAGGAAGGACTCAGTCATGACGAGCTTCAGTTGTGAGTGTCTAATCAAGAGGTGACCTGGAACTGGTGTGTGACTGCAGTGCGTGATGGGATATGTAGTTTGTTAGAATGACAGGAAGCATTCTTCACAAAGGCTGCTACATTGCTGGTGATCATAACAGTCACAACACTGTTACGGCATGGTTTCAATCTATAGCATGAGTTTCAAGCACACTCACCTGCATGAAGTACACTAATACACTAATTCTAATACAAATTTCCTTTTCAATACACTACTTTTCTATAGTTTTTCTATACGCACTGGATAGACATGTGATTTTTCAACTATACAAGGTGTCCAAAAAAGTGTTTCAAAAGATGCAGGACGTGAGCATAACAGTCAATCATATCCGTCCTGCATATTTACATTGAAAAACAATAGAGAAGTCGCACGTTGGAGAGGAAAACCGCATTCTGTGTGAACGGCCTCATAGGCTGCGCAATCAGCTAAAATGTTGCTAATTTAAATTTTATAGGTGATATATATTGTGTTACCAAAAATAATTGAGGTCATGTTTATGTATTATATGATAAGTTGATATATTGATTATTGCGACAGGCCTCCTAGTAGCCATGTCTCCTACCTAACTAAACCTAATCCGCGTATGTTGTTGCAGAGTACTTTAAAATGATTACGATTAACCAACCAGAGACCTTATGTCAAAATCTACCTATCCACTTCTTTTCGGCTAATATTTTTGTCTTTTGCTCTCTTTTGTCCAACAACGCCAGTTAATTTTAAACCGATAATTTTGGAAGCTAATAATTTGGTGCATCTCCATTCTAAATAGGGTATATGCCGAGCTAGTGTTCTTCCCATACTGATAAACAACCGGTGACCTGTTATTTTGAACTTTTTTCAATTTTTTACGATTCCTTTTACAGCATCGATGTTGTAATGTCATTAAAATACATTCAGTTAAATAAACTTTAGCATTTATTTATTTGCTCAAGCGTAAAACGAGACAAAAAGCTGTTTACTCGCACGCGCCCGTCAGAATCGGCAGGCTAGCGCAGAAGCTCCATTGAATATACTGTGGTAAAATAAATGCTCTTATTATAAAGACATGGCAGGGAAATGTAATTTAATGCAGTGCTTCTTGTACAATCTGAGACCCACTTTATATCGGATATCACTCAGCCAGTGGAGATCGCTGCTTTTTAAAGGAAATAGACCTTAAAGGGCACCTAGGTTACCTCTTTTTTCAGATTTAATATAAGTCTTTTGCGTCTCTAGAATGTGTATATAAAGTTTCAGATCAAAATACCCATCAGATTTTTCATTATACCTTTTACAAGATGCTGTTTTATACTGATTTCCAGCAGGGGGTGATTTTGTCGTACTGCGCCTTTAAGACGAGTTTTTCCCGCCTACTGCTTCTACATGCCTCCTCCCTCAGCTGCGTCAGACAACAGACAGACTTAAAGGAAGAAGGTCTTACGTAGCGTTTGTGAGAAATACTACCGTAAGAACTAACCTTTACTAATCAGTATTGTGAAGTTGCATTGATGAGTCACACACAATATCGTTACAAAGTAAACGCGCGCACGCGTGCACACACACACACACACACACACACACACCGCAGATGACACACACACACAGGCAGGCAGACAGACAGAGAGCGCTTAGCTTGGTTAAGGCTAACCTCAAGTACTGTGTGGATATCTGTTATGCTAATGTACAAAATAAACCTGATTTAACTTCCACAAACCGGGATTGAAGCGTCTTCTTTTATAATTGTTCTGACACGCGGCTGTGCTGATGAAGTAAAGCTGAAGTAAATCGCTGTAATTAATTACACACATATTCTGTTTTAAAACACTTTAAACATGTGAAACTCACTCTTAATCACATTTGATGATGATTGCTGATCCTAGCGAACTGAACAGACCTTTTATTCCCGGTTGCTTTTGCGTATGTCTGGTCATGTTGACATATACACGCGACTACCGGAACATGTTTATGCGCGCAGCTGTCAATCAATACGGTGGACTGGGGGATCGCACACCTACGTAATGGTGCGATCGATTTGAAAACAGCTCCAATTGGCCGACCCTTTTTTTTGTAGTTAAATTGAAAAAAAAGGACTGGGTGTGTTCATATCACCCCAGTATGACGGTCTATACACTACACCAACACACAGATCTGTCCAAACAGCTTGAAAAGTAGATTTTTTACCATAGGTGCCCTTTAAACGCGCTGGTTTTTGCATTAAATACAGTTCGCCGGAAGCGCTTAACCCAGATTACTGGCAAATTAAAAGTCCTATTAGCATGCTTCGGCATATACCCTATTGATTGTGACTGCACTACCAGCAACCATGTTTAAAGTCTACCTATCTAGCATATTATTAATATTTATTTGCAGTGATTAAAGAATTGATATGATAAATGTGTTTAGATCATTGTTTATTCACCTTTTCATCTTTTTTTTTTCCGATGTAATATCACCAAACTGTACACCGATTTTACAGCTGCCTTATTTCCTATAGTATTTCCCTCTTTAATTTCCTTCAAGGGCATTCTATGATACAGAGTTAGGAGCCTCAAATCAAGTGAACTCACTCCATTACAACATCTGACTTAAAGCGAGAGAGTGCTGAAAGACTAAATTGCACGATTCGCAATGCTAGTGTGTGTAAGCGGGCTGCCTCTGCTGAACATTTTACATTCCCAAATTGCACTTTTGTCTTTTCCAGACGAACATCGCCACGAAGCTCCCTTCAAATCTGTTTCTCTGTGGAGAAGGGTTTTGACTTCCCGAACACTGCTGTCTCGCTCTATTACACTGCTAGATGAGACGGGCCACTATTTCTCCTCAGACGCCGGCCAATTATAGTCTCCAACTATTTGAGGAGAATGTCTACAGGCGAGTGTGAATGTGAAGGAAATGAAAAGGCTGAATCTGACCGTGAGCCCAGGATGATGAGCACTGTGTCCAGCTCAGAGCGCCTCAGTGCCCTCTCCAGTGCCCTCAGGAGATCACAGCCTCCACCAGCCTGCAGATGCTTGACCCACGCACAGCACTGCTGGAGCCTTCAGTATGTGGAGCAAAGAAGATATATGTAACATAATAAAAATACATTCCAGAACCTGTGGACTGCCTCCATGGACGAGCTCCTGGCATGAGGGTGTTTGAAAGGCTGGCATCTTTATTCTGCAGTTCTTTTCAGCTTATTCTCATTGTGTTCTTTATGCCATAATGCATTATTAGAAACTCAAAAAAAGTATGCTATATTAGAAATGAGCAAGACACATGGTATATCCAATACACAGTGCATCCGGAAAGCATGCATAGAGCTTCACTTTTTCAAACTTTTTTTATGTTATCTCATTCCAAAATGGATTAAATTAATTTATTTCCTCACAATTCTACACACAATGCCCCATAATGACAATGTGAACAAATAATTTGGTAACACTTTACAATAAGGTTCATTAGTTAATGCATTTACTTACATGAATTAATCATGAACAACACTCGTGCAGCATTTATTAATCATGATTGAACATTTACTAATGCATTATTAACATTTAAGTCCATGCTTGCTAACATGAGTTAATGCACCATGAGTTAACATGAACTCACAATGAACTACTGTATTTTTATTAACTAACGTTAACTAACATGAACAAATACTAAGTAAATACATTGTTCATTAGTTGTTCATCTAATGCATTAATTAAAATTAACTAATGAACCTCATTGTAAAGTGTGACCAATTTTTTTTGGGTCCCACTTTATATTAAGTGTCCTTAACTACTATGTACTTACATCAACAAAAAATAAATACAATGTACTTATTGTGTTTAAAATGTATTTGAGAACACTTGTGGTGCTTTTGAGTTGGGATAGAGGTTGGGTTATGTACAGGTTTAGTGGTATGGGTAGGTTTAAGGGTGGGTTAAGGTGTAAGGGATGGTCAACAGTGTATTTACAAATGTAATTACAAAAGTTAATTACAAATGTAATTACATACAGGTATTTAATCAAGCATAAGTACACATTAAATACATGTATTTAAACAATTAATACATTGTAACAAACTATTAATTCCTGTGTAAGTACATATTAGTTAAGGCCACCTAAAATAAAGTAGGACCATTTTTTGTAATTGTTGCAAATTTATTCAAAATAAAAAAAACCTGAAAAACCAAATGTGCATCAGTATAAATGATATTAGAGTAGTGTTAGCCTTTTAAGTGATTTTATGTTTTAGAGTAGAAGATGTAATGTTCTCAATAATATTTGTAAAGGAAACACAGGCCCTATATGTGCCATTTACATTTATTTCAATTAATATGGAAAACGAGTGCATGTTTTGACCACAACTAATAACGGATTTCTTTTAAATGCGTGTTTGTGTAAAATAATATAATTTGCACAAAGAAATGATGGGGTTCCTCCACCCTGTTTAGAGCATCATTATGGCCATTTTACGTTATATAATAGATCTGCCACAGAGAAACTATGGGTTTTGGAAAACACTCATCACTAGATTATTTATTCATTCATCTTGTCGGCTTAGTCCCTTTATTAATCCAGGGTCGCCACAGCAGAATGAACCGCCAATTTATCCAGCAAGCTTTTACGCAGCGAATGCCCTTCCAGCCGCAACCATGCAACTCCACACAGAAACGCCAACTGAGCCGAGGATTGAACCAGCGACCCAGCGACTTTCTTGCTGTGAGGCGACAGCACTACCTACTGCGCCACTTATTCGCCCTCACTAGATTATTCTTTTCCCAAATGATGCATTGTACTATGATAGTTCATCCGCGAACTATGTCGTTGTTTGGGAAATTCACCCCAAAGTGAGAGGTGGCAGTAACGCACCAAAAAGTTTGTTGTCGACCCCTAAAAAATAGGAAGAAGAAGAAATAGTCATTCTTGCCATCATATATGCTGCGTCCCAATTCGCATACTTGTACTACGCCCTAAAATTATGTACTATTTTTGTGAAGCAAAAGTTACTTATACTTTCGAGTGTGCAACAGAAGAGTATGCAAGCTTTAGGACATACTATATTAACAGATCGTTGTGTTGCTTAGTTATGCACCCTGTCAATCATCCATACACTAGGGTTGGGCCGATAGACGATGCCATCCTCCATCACCGATGGCTAATAGACAACAGGATGCTGAGCCAACATCGCCGATCCTCCGTCTCCGTCGCAAACCTGCTCGCTAACAATACACACTTAGGCGCTGTTTACACTAATACATCTTAGTGTTAAAATGGCATACAATGGCATCACGTGACCACACACACACACACATACACACACAGCCACACAGTGGCTGTTTCTCAATTCCAAGAGTGCAGAGAACAGACTTGAGTTCTTGGGGAAACCGGTCTTGCCAGGTGTCCTAGGAAGAACTAACTCAGGGGACCACGAGGGCAGAGAACGCGTCCTGTGAGAACTGAGATGCTGCGCTTGTCATCTCCAGTCGCAATGACTTCTGGGACTTCCAGAGCGAGTTCAGTGCTCAAGTCTGCATCTGTGCGTCCTCGATATCAAGAACACATACAGGAAGTTTCACGCGTCCTCCGTACTTGCGGTCTTGAGTATTGGAACTGAACTTGGTCAGCTGATCATGACGTTATACAAGAAGACGAGGATGCAAGATAGCCGAAGAACGCATATTGAGAAACAGCCCTTGTCATGCGCTCCTCTGAGTTTCAGAGACGTCGGACAGTTTATCAAGTGTACCGCTTGATGGCGTCTTACTATAGTTGTTAAACTTGATATTCAGACATCCAAAGTGTCTCAGAAATTCCGGGAGTCTCTATGCATTTGCGGGACTCATAATGCCCGCAAACAAGTGATAATCTGCCGGAAATCGCGCGCCTCCCTCCCGGTCCTCAAATAAGTCGCGCACCCTTCTCAGCCCCAGATCCCACCTCGCTCTTCAGACCCACACCCCCACCCCCACACATCATGACGATCATCCATCGTAATGTTACATAATAGACATCGTACAATGCCAAATTGGTCGACTTCAGGTCTTTGGGTAATTCTGCATTCAGACATTCAGACATCTAAACGCTCCTCTATATGAGTTCAGTATTGTTGTTGCTGATGAAATATAACACAGATATTGCGATTTAAATATTCTCCAGTGGGCTATAGATATTGTCAGTCATTCAGACATCTTTACCGAAGCCTCTGTACATTACTGTTGGTCTCGCGCGTCCATCATGTTTGTAGTTTATTTACACTTTTCACATGCGTTTGTAGTTCCAATCCAATTCACATCCAACGCGCAATGTATTGTGGGCAATATCAGCGGTTAGACAGTATAGACAGTTCTACACTCAAATTTTTTTGTACCAGAAATAGCAAACAATCCGGGAACCTCTGGCATACTCTTTTTAACATACTATGGTTTGGGACATACTAATTCTATTTTCAAATACTATTTAGGACGGATAGTATGCGGACTGGGATGCAGCAATGGATTTACTTTCAGCGGCTAGACCAGAGGTGGGTAAACTACGGCCCGCGGGCCATATGCGGCCCACTGAACACTTTCATACGGCCCTCGAGGGAGTTTTTAAAATGCTGCTTCTGAGTAACGGCTTGGTTCAGAATTAATAAATGAATGATGCAATTACAAGTGAACGCCATGTGATGGCAGTATTGCACACGGTAGTAAATATAATAGCAGTGCAAATTAATTTGACTTGTAAATTTGACTTAATAATATTGAAAGAAAAATCTGTTTTGTGTTAATGTGACATGTTTATGTCTGATATTACAAACCATGCATACTGTCACTATAAATAAAAGTAGCTTTTTAAAGAATTGGACATATGGCCCTTCGTTTGCAAAACCTGGTGTGGCCCTCGGGTCTAAAAAGTTTGCCCACCACTGGGCTAGACACCGGCCTCACAGCTCTGTCAATGTTGATGCCGTCACTTATTGATCTGCGATCAGCAAATGTGCTTGTGTGTTTCGCTACTGAAAAGCTATTTTGTTTGGAAAGTAGCGATGCTGCCGTTGCGCTACTGAAAAATGTAGTTAAGCTAGTAGAGTCACTACTTGTAGCGACGCTGCTGCCCAACACTGCAAATTGTGAATATCCCTTTAATAATCTAGGGTCGCCACAGCGGAATGAACGAATATCATAATACTATTCAATATTACAATTTAAAAAATATTAACAGCAGAGCTTGCGCACAATATACAGCTGATCCAGTGGTTGCCTAGCGACATAAAAAGCACAGCACTCTTCTTTTTTCCTTGTTAACAAACAAAGGCAGTGTGGTTCGCCTCACGTTCCTCAGAACTGAAAAGCATGATCAGTGTGAACAGCCACTAAAAGTACAACATCAGCACCTGAAGTGTATATTATAACCTAAAATGTACAAAAATGTCCCTTTTTGAAAGCATACCGCCCCAGTGACAGCTCTGACCTTTATTTCTGAGAGCATAAAGCAAATAAAGTGAGGATTGGTCTGAGGAGTGGTATCTACTAATATCTACATACTGCTCTGTTAGCTTAGATTCACTTTCCACTACTCTGCATCTCTCTGTCAGTGCTGCCTTTGAGCTGTTTCATCACGATGCTTCAAACACAAACGTCTCGAAGACGCATTTCATCGGTGTCAGAAACACGGCCTTCATCCTCTCTCATTATCTCAGCGTTTTTCCTCTCCTGTCCTTTCATCCCCTCCTCTCCAGTGATTTCTTGGCGTCTATTACAAGTACAAACAGTTCTCACATGTGCCCACTCATCCCTCATGACGAACCCAAAATAAAACAAGCAGTCTATCTAAAAAGACGACGAGCATGCTAATCAAAATAGTGGCCTGGTAGAGCCGATCCTTCTACCCAGAGGTCTTGATTTAGCATTTCCAAAATCAACCTTCTAATATATTTCCAAAAGGACAAAAACTTTAAGGAAACGGTTTTAAAAATAACACAAGGATGTTTGTATGTTTATTTAGGGACGTTTTGTCTTGAAAATATTCACGTAACAACTCCCAGTACTATGCCTACTTTTAACTGTCTATGCCTCACGTTCAGCTTTAATATCAAGAAAGTCTAATGCAGGGGTCACCAATCTTGTTCCTGGAGGGCCGGTGTCCCTGCAGGGTTTTGCTCCATCATGTCTCAACACACCTGCCTGGGTGTTTAAACCTACCTAGTAACACCTTAATTAGCTTGTTCAGGTGTGTTCAGCCTGATCTCACGAGGAAACTGAAGTATTTTACGTTTTGTCAGTTTAGTTGCTAATTCATACGAATTCGTACGAGTTCAGTCGTACAAAAATGTACGATATTAAAAAGGAAGCGTGGCAACTAACCCCACCCCTAACCCCAACCATCATTGGGGGATGAGCAAATCGTACTAAATTGTACGAATTAGATCGTACGGATTCATACGAATTAGCCACTAGAGCAACAAGTTACGAATTGCAGTGAGATTGCATTGGTGTGTTTGATTAGGGTTGGAGCTAAAATCTGCAGGACACCGGCACTCCAGGAACAAGTAAATAAACAATAACGTTAAATAAACGTATGCGTGAAACATCTAATATTTGGCATTTTAGTCATAAAAAATACATTTTGTGTCTATCCTTATGTTAGGGTAAACTCTGTTTCTCGATGTTTCTGAATGAAATGTGTACTGTCCCTGCAAAACCCTGCCTAGGCTGGTTGGCTGGTTTTAACTGGCTGAGAAGCCTGGTTTTAGAAGGGTTTTGGTCATTTCAAGGCTGAATTCCAACTGTTTCCAGCTTGGTCAGGCTGGGAGATGACCAGCTAAAACCAGCTTGCCAAGCCTAACTAGGCTGGGAGCCCAGTTAAAACCAGCTATGTCCAGCTAAAACCAGACTGGTCAAGCTGGTTTTAGTTGGTTTTAGCTGGTCATTTTCCAGCCTGGCCAGCTAAGACCAGGGTGGAAATGGCCAAAAACCCCTCTAAAACCAAACTGGTCAACCAGCTAAAACCAGCCAACCAGCTTAAGCTAGTTTAAGCTGTTTTTTTCACTTGGGGTACAACCTCCAATCAACTCACAGTAGAAAAAATAAGCCACTCCCACTGTTTTCTCATTTAATATTCCACTTCTCTAGGTACTGTATCACAATACAAAAAAGAAAAGTGTTTGCGGCTTCCAGTTTATTTGGACTTTAGAGCACGCTTTTTCTTCTTCTTTGGCCTTAGTCCCGTGTGGTTGCAGGGTCAGCTCTTTGGAACAAGTCCTCCATTTTAGACTTGTCCATATGATAACAACTTTTTTACACATTCCGGCTGGCCGGTCATCTGGGCCTCATACACTACGGACAATTTAGCCTACCCAATTCACCTGTACCGCATGTCTTTGGACTGTGGGGGAAACCGGAGCACCCAGAGGAAACCCACGTGAAGGCAGGGAGAACATGCAAACTCCTCACAGAAATGCAATCTGAGCCGAGGTTCAAACCAGCACCCAGAGACCTTCTTGCTGTGAGGCGACAGCACTACCTACTGCGCCACTGCTTCGCCACTGCTTCGCCCCCATTTGGACTTTACAGCACTGACAGCAAAAAACATGACTTGCTCCAATTGATGTCCCTTCCTCTGGCGGGAAACTCTAGAAGGCATTGAGGCGTGTCATTATTTTTCTCTCATTATCTTGTATATAGAGTTTAACTATGTTACCCTAATATACCATTGAATTTCTCATCATTGATGTTTAAAAACAATAATATGATGAAAATACATAAAAGTCAGTTTTAGAAGTGCCATGTGATGAGGTTAGCATCTTGAGCTAAAGCACAAAATGGTGGAAAATGCATATCTGTCAATCGTCACGTTTTTTCCAGGGATTCTTCCGTATTTTACAATTGTATCCCGCTATCATCCCATAAAGCTATTTTCCCATATTTCTCCCATATTTTTAATCTTGCTATGAAGGGTGGCGGGCGAGGCAGTGGCGCAGTAGGTAGTGCTGTCGCCTCACAGCAAGAAGGCTGCTGGGTTGCTGGTTCGAACCTTGGCTCAGCTGGCGCTTCTGTGTAGAGAGTGCATGTTCTCCCTGCCTTCGTGTGGGTTACCTCCGGGTGCTCCGGTTTCCCCCACAGTCCAAAAACATGCAGTACAGGTGAATTGGGTAGGCTAAATTGTCCATAGTGTATGAGTGTGTGTGTGAATATGTGTGTGGATGTTTCCTAGAGATGTTTCCTAGAGATGGGTTGCGGCTGGAAGGGCATCCGCTGCGTAAAAACTTGCTGGATAAGTTGGTGGTTCATTCCGCTGTGGCGACCCCGGATTAATAATGGGACTAAGCCGACAAGAAAATGAATGAATGAATGAAGGGTGGCAATAAACATTAAAGAGCCGTTCCTCCCTATCCTAAATGTGAATCTGTTCTGTGCTTTCTGTTTTAGTTTTAGTTTTAAGTTCGCCATTGCCAATTTTTCTCTTTATCTTCTTCATTGCTCGTGGCTGGAAATCTCTATACACAAGGCAACACTGGCACTTCTGGACCGCACGCTTTAGATCTCATTAAAAGATTTTTTTTCCTTCTAATGCAGGCCTGAGGCCCGATATGTGTGCTTGCTATGACATAAAAATTGGCCCAAAACCCAGCCCTAGGGTCCAGATATAAAAAGTTGATCCCAGATAGGCTCGGGCTTAAATGCAGAGCTCTACAGTGAAGAAAAAGGTTAATGAGGTTAATTTATGCCCTATTTTTACATTACATTGTTGACAGGTATGGGAAAATGTCAACTCTGCTAGTTTATCACTAAGTTAAACACCAATTAATAATCAAATGTTTTGTATGTTGCATTATTTAACTTCGGTTAATGAAAAAATGACTGTAAAATGCTTGAAATGTGTTGCCAATTCTAGAACGAGCCACGTACATAACTTGTGCCTCAACAGAAATGTCCTCACTCACCTCAGTGGACAAGTATTTTTTGGTTCGTCCCAAAGGCTGCTGACCTCTGAGCCGAAGGACAGAAGATACAGCTGTTTTTTGAAGCGCAGTTGCTCCTCAATGAGAGCCTTTGATGGTGTACGGTGAGGAAAGAAAAGCAGCAAATGAGCAGTGTAATTCATTAAATGAGCTAAATAAAGCACCGTGTTGAAGCAGTGACTCATGTGGGATCTTACTAAGAGCCTCTTCTGTAGATCCGCTAGTCTGTCTGTAGAGCAGTTCATATCAGACGAGTCAACGAGCACCGCGACATGAGATCCGCTCACCACACCAAACACCTGACGGATCAAAACACACCACAGATTCAACCTTACAGCGTTACCAAAATCTGCAGATAGCTTTTCCTGCAGTTCCCTGATGTAATCTCGAAATTTAACAGCTGATTTTATGGAAGCGAATTTTTAAACTGAAATAAAATGAACTGAAAATTAGCTTTTGAATATTGTATTTTTAAAGAGAATTTAATATTTTGGAGGTGAAATCGGGAAGTTGAATATGAATTTTTAAATTTTGCACTTGCTATTTCAAATAAATTATTTTTTTCTGTTAGTGCTATTTGACAAGGGCTGCGTCTGAAACTGCATACTTCCATACTATACAGTACGCTAAAATCAGTATGCGAGCCGAGTAGTATGTCCGAATTCATAGAATTCGAAAATCAGTGTGCGAGAAGTACCCAGATGACTTACTACTTTTGGCGAGATTCTGAAGTGCGCATCCCATACACACTGCGCTATCCAATGATGCCCCGCAAGAGAATTCATGAATGGGACTGAAGCGACGCAACTGATGCAGGTAGGTCACGGGATCATGACAAAATGGCGGATGTAGTACGTCCGAATTCCATTCATACTGCTCACATTCATACTGTAAAGAATGCACTTTTCTAACGGGTGAGTAGTATGTTTAAATCCAAATGCAGTACCTGCTGAGTAGTAGGCGGTTCCGGACGCAGCCAAGCTTTTTTTATTTTAATACTTTTGGCATTGATTTTTTCCCATCCCCTTCTTTCTTTTTTCAGCCCTATAATTTGTTTTTTAAGGAAAACATGCATTACTTTTCTCCACATGTTGAACTTCTATGGTGATCAGTTGTTTTAACTTACAAGCCACTTCCAAAGAAGTGTATTCCAGTTATTACTATTATTACAATAGTACACTAGAATACACTTTAAAAGGAATGCTGTTACACATAACCAATTTTTGTTGGGACAACATGAAGAAATTAATTTTTTATTTTTTTTTAAGATTTATTTTGGGCCGTTTTGCCTTCATTAGATAGGACAGTAATGAGACCGGAAGTGAAGTGAGAGCGAGAGAAAGAGGGGTAGGATTGGGAAATGTCCTTGAGCCTGGACTCGGGATGCCCTGACGTGCTACTGCACCATATGTTGGCGCACTAACAACTAGATTATTTTGCCAACAAAGGAATTAATTTTAACTTCATTCTTATAAATTTAGGTGGATTAAACATGAAACAATTAAGTGATCCCAAAACAAAAACTCAAGAATTGTGTTGTATGAGCTGATTTTACATAAGTCGTTGATTTTAAATGAATCATTTCCTTCACTGTATCACTTTAAGTATACTAAAATAAAATTAACTTACAGTATACTTCTTTATCGTCAGGGTTGTGCCTGAGTTTTTGTGTTTATATATGATAAATGTGCATTTTATTTCAGAAAATGGTCGATCGTTTCTCTGGGTAAGACTTTTATTCCTGACCTGCGATCACCAAGTGTCATTGAAGCTGTATTTAAACTGTGGTTTGGAGGTTTGGAAGTCCACTATAGACCATTTTGAGGAATGTAAACAATAACAATGGTCTTAACATATTTCCTGCTTTACATACTCTAAACTGTATAACTTTGGTCAAAAGTTTTGGGTATCCTTTCACAAGAATCTCACAATAGTTTGAAGGAATTTTGACCCATTTCTCCTGACAGAATTGGTGCAACTGAGTCAGATTTGTTGGCTGTCTTGCTCGCACAAGCTTTTTCAACTCTGCCCACAAATCTTCTATAGGATTGAGATCAGGGCTTTGTGATGGCCACTCCAAAACATTCACTCTGTTGTCCTTAAAGCACATTTTAACTCATTTGGCAGAAGACCCATTTGTGGTCAAGGGTAAATTTCTTGGCTGATGTCTTGAGATGTGGCTTCAGTATTTCTCCATAATGTTCTTTCTTCATGATGCCATCTATGCTGTGAAGTGAATCAGTCCCTCCTGCAGCAAAACAGCCACACAACATGATGCTGCCGTCCCCATACTTCACAGTCAGGATGGTGTTCCTAGGCTTGTAAGCTTTCCACTTTGTCCTCCAAATGTAACACTGGTCATTATGGCCAAACAAGTCAATCTTAGCTCCATCAGACCACAGGACATGTCTCCAAAAATGTGTATGTTTCCCAGTGTAATTTAGCAAGTTGTAATCTGGCTTTTTTATTGATTCTGGCTTGTTGGTTTTCCCATGTTGTCACACAAGGAAGCAGTGTGTTTGAGGTTTTCCTTCAATACTATTCTACAGTTGTGCCTCCAATTAACTCAGATGTTGTCAATTAGCCAATCAGAAACTTCCAGAACCTTGACACCATCATCTGAGCTTTTCAGAGGCACAATAATCTTTATGTATGTAAACTTGACTTTCAAGAAAAGTTATAACAATTTCTCAAAAATATCTCTCTCGTTATTCTGCTATTAAACATAACAGAAACAAATGTGATAATCCGAACTTATCTAAAAGAGAAAACGTTTAGTCGCATGGTTCTATGGTTATGTGCCCTTTTATATAGTGTATGTAAACTTCTGGATTAAACTGTTAATAAATAATGTTATAAGCTGTTTTAATGTTAAGCTATGATTAAACTTCCTCTTGTTGCATATGAAATAGTTCAACAAGCACAAAGTGTTCATGGGCCACATTGAAACTGTCTATAAGGAGAAAATGGTCCTTCCTTTCTTTTAACTTATCAATAAATTAAATATCAAACTGAACACCATGGATGAGAAGGTCAAATTAAATAATCTGTATATTTTTATTACAATCCAGATTACCTTCCTGCTTCCTTGACCGAGCCACTTAATTCGATCATGGTGCGTCTCGATGGCACTGAAAAACAGAACAGAGCATCCATTAACAACGACGTTGATCTGAAACTGAAGTGGCCTTTTCTGCTTCAATGTGGTCTTCAGCTTGACCATGAGGAACTAATTGGATGGCTGTGATTCGTCATTGGTGGATCTCACAATAGTTCTGATTGGCTAGTTCTGTAATAAACCATATAACATATTGGCTTCTAGGTGGCCGAAGCAAGCTGAACTGCCGCTCTAGGCAAAGTACGGTCACGCTGCCCACAACCCTAAAGTGAGGGGGGGGCTGATGGGGGCAAGGGAGCTGTCGCGGACGCCGCCCACTCTATTCTGCCGCCCTAGACGCGAATATAACTAAGGGCGCGGGTGATGAGGGTAGTGTCGCTGACGCCACCCTCTCTATTCTGCCGCCCTAGACGCGAATATAACTAAGGGCGCGGGTGATGAGGGTAGTGTCGCGGACACCGCCCTCTATATTCTGCCGCCCTAGACGCGGATATAACTAAGGGCGCGGGTGATGAGGGTAGTGTCGCGGACGCCACCCTCGCTATTCTGCCGCCCTAGACGCGAATATAACTAAGGGCGCGGGTGATGAGGGTAGTGTCGCGGATGCCACCCTAGACGCGGATATAACTAAGGGGGCAGATGATGAGGGTAGTGTCAAAGATGCCGCCCTCTCTATTCTGCCACCCAAGACGCGAATATAACTAAGGGCGCAGGTGATGAGAGTAGTGTCGCGGACGCCGCCCTCTCTATTCTGCCACCCTAGACGCGGATACAACTAAGGCCGCAGGTGATGAGGGTAGTGTAGCGGACGCCGCCCTCTCTTTTCTGCTGCCCTAGACGCGAATATATCTAAGGGCGCGGGCGATGAGGGTAGTGTCGCGGACGCCGCCCTAGATGCGGATGTAACTAAGGGCGCGGGTAAGGAGGGTAGTGTCGCGGACGCCGCCCTCTCTATTCTGCTGCCCTAGACGCGGAAATAACTAAGGGCGCGGGTGATGAGGGTAGTGTCGCGGCCACCGCCCTGGACGCGGATATAACTGAGGGCGCGAGAGGTGAGGGTAGTGTCAGGGACGCCGCCCTCTCTATTCTGGTGCCCTAGGCGGCCGCCTAGGTCGCCTCTATAGACCTCTATGGACCTCTATGAACGCGCCAGCCCTGGCCATCTTACAGCAAGAAGGTCACTGGTTCGAGTCCCTGCAGGGCCAGTTGGCATTTCTGTGAGGGGTTTGCATGTTCTCCTTGTATTGGTGTGGGTTTCCTCCGGGTGCTCTGGTTTCCCCCATTGTCCAAACACATGCACTTTAGGAGAATTGAATAATCTAAATTGGCCGTAGTGTATGTGTGTGAATGTGAGAGTGTATGGGTGTTTCCCAGTACTGGGTTGTGGCTGGAAGGTCATCCGCTGCGTAAAACATGCTGGAATAATTAGTGGTTCATTCCGCTAAAGCGACCCCTGATTAATAAAGGGACTAAGCTGTAAAGAAATTGATTGAATGGTGATTATATAACAATTATATTAGTTAAACACTGTTTATTTTTGAAATCTTTTAGCTAGATCTGACAGTTTTGGATGAGCCTGTTCTTTCTGTGATGTGCTCACAGTGTTTGTGAAATGAGAAAACAGAGTGTTCCCTTAGTGTCTGCTTAATCAAGAAAAACCCATCAGAACATTCAGAGATGGGTAGATGATTGAGCGTGATGTTCTTACAGCGTCTTTCTGTGAGGATGATGAAGTGTGTTCCTGATGAGTGCAGTGGAGTGAAGAAGAAGATGCTCACATGTAAAGCTGCTCCTCAAACTGAGCCAGAGACTCACTGCTGATCTGCAGCTGTCTGCTCAGCCCCGATCCGGTCTCTGAGCTGACACACACACACACACACACACACACACACACACACACACACACACACACAACACACATGCAAACACACAGTCAAGCAAGCATGCAAGCACATACGCACATACACACACAAATTCAGACA